GCCCATCAGTAATTTTACCAAAGAAGTGTCACTGTTTGCAAATATTTCAAGCTTGCTTTTTTTTAGAGAGCATTTTCATAAGAAGTCTACCAATAATTCTATTTTTCCTACGAATAACAGGCATCCATGACCTTTTACGCATTTGGTGAATTTAAATTTCAATCAAGAATCCTGCCCTGGGCACATCTTTTGTAGCCAGGCAGTGTCCCTGCTAATTTCACTGACTTTAGCTGTGGGTGGCCTGGGCTGGAGGCTCAAGGTGTGGCCCTGGTTGGGCTCAGGAGTTGTATTTAGCTTTGCAAGGCTGCAGCCTCGCCTGTGCAGAGTCAACAGAGGCTTCAGGCTTTCAAACATTTACTTAGGTGCTTTACACTGAGGCCAGCCGAGTGACTCAGAGCATGAAATGAAGCACAGATGTAGGTCTTAGCAGGAGCTGAGACTTTACCTTTTGAACCAGGCCAGGCTGTGATGTACCCTGGGTGAGCTGAATAAATAGTGTTTGCCTCAGTTTGTCTAGATGTAAAATAGAGATAGCTCAGGATTGGAAAGTCCTCAAGATCCTTGGCTGGGAGTTATTATTTAAAAATTAAATTTGTCGTTAAAGGACATGTTGCTAAGGGCTAAATGGAAAGAAGAAAAAGTGAAAAATATATATGGCATCCTATTTTCCATGATTTTATGCTTACATTATTGAGTTCAAGCAAGGGGAATTACTTCTACCGGAGAAACTTCTTAGGAAAAGAGTAGAGTTAGGCTCAATCAGTAAAAAGCTCAGTATTCACACACTATATATGGCTGTGCTGCCTTCAAAACAGTGCTGTGAACACCTGGCACTGCTGTTTGCTGCCTGCCTTTTGTCGTGCTGCCTGTGAGCTGCCTGTGAGCTGCCTGGTTGTGGTTTCACCCTCGCTGCTGTAACTGCCAAGGGCTGATCTGTGAGCACCTGCACCAGCCCTGGGAAGGGTGGGCACTGTGGGGCAGGGGGTGAGAACACCAGAACCAGCAGCAAAAGACAAAACCAGCCTCACACAGGCTGTACTGGGAGGCAGATCTGCCCAGTAATGAACAGCACGGCCTCACCTGCAAGCAGGGTAAAATCTGCTGGTGAATACTTAGGGGTATTAAATTAGCACTAGTCCTGATCCTGGTCTTACTGATTTCACCCCAGGCAGGACTGTACCTGAGCCTGTGTATCTCAAAACACTGCAAAACATGTATTGTAAGTGGCAGGGGAAAATAAAGGGCTATCTAAGACCTCTGCTTATTATATGTTGTATTCTAAAATCTAGTAATTTAAACCTCCTGTTCATTAATGCTTCAAGCCAAAAGCATCCTAATGGCATAAATTTGCCTTAATTATGACATTCTACAATTTGCTTTATTATTTGCTGCCACTGTAGAGAGACGGGGCCATATTCTCAATTATTTGAATAAACAGTATTTATTAAAATCAAGATTTTTTTTCCCCACACTTACTTGTTATGGAGAACATCCCCTCTGCTTAATCTTATGATTGTGAATATACTGCCCTTGTGAATAATAGGGTCATCAAGACATCTACCATTTAGTAAGATGACAGGAATATTTAAAAATGTAGCAGGTGGGAAAAGTAGATGTATTTTCTGCTTTTCTTTTTGAAAAATTGTAAGTCTCTTGCCTTCAAAATATTTCACAGAAATTTTCAGCTGTCAAGAGTGGAATCTGAAAATGTTATCCATTTAGTTGCTGAAAAAAAGGGTGAATTTTGAATAGAGCCAGAATTTTCAACAAACTTTTTCAGGGCAAATATATGCTATTTATAAGGAAATGTTTGTTTGTTTATCACGGACGTGTTAGAAGAATCTAAATATCTTATACAATTAAATAAACTTAATCTACTTAAAATGCAAGCTGTTGTTCTGTTATTCAGTAAGATATGGTGCCAGTCTTTTCAATATAGTTGGTTTTGTCGTCTTACCAGCATATTAAATATATTTTTGACTTGCATTTTGGTATTGTTTTACCTAAACAATGAAAGCCAAAGCTGGCAATCTCCTCTATTGCCATACATATGTTTCCTGTTTGGAACAAAATGTGAAACTTAATTCACCTATGTGCCAGGCCACTGGGGCAAAGCCAGGTTTGTAGAGAGATTATTTTTCTTGTTTAAACTTGTAGGAGAAACAAATGCAGACTTTCAGGCTCTCAATCCTTTCTGAAACTCAGAAAAGTCACCAACTTGAAATAGAAATATCAACCTTATGGGGAGGGAGGGTGAAAATCTAATTTCATGTCCATCTGTGTTGTGTAACTTCTTAAACCATATTTTCCACAGGCAGTCACAGTCTGTCCTTCCCAGTGTTTGCATTAACAACATTAATTTTTTTGTGAATAGGTTCAAAATGGTAAGGAATTGCCACACTGTGGTAAAAGGATGCAGGGTCAAATAATACAAGACTGAATGTGCTGCTGAAAGCATTTTAGAAAGAGCAGTGCCCCAGTCCTGCAGCTCTTCATACACGTGCACCCTCCAGGCACAGCAGCAGGCTCAGAGCAAAAAAGGGGACCCTCTGAGCTTGGCTGAGCCTGACAGCCAAGGAGAAGTGGCACTGCAGGGAAAGGAGATTGTACCTTGGTGTTCAAGGAGAATGGGATTAGCCACTAACCTGTGGCCTTTCCAGACTGAACCAACTTTATTTAATGAAAATGCAAATCATCCATTGCAAATGTGTTGCGGTGTGAAAGTGAATTTACCATGAAATTCGTTTCAGATGGGGAGAACCAGCTGCAATTTTTCTCAGTATTGTTTCTTACAGTCCTTTTAGGCACAGCTTTCCCACTGCCTGCAGGGAGAGCTGCAGAAGCCAGGAGTGAGCACTGGAGGGATTCATCCATCAGGTTTCCCTGACATTTGGTAGTCTTGCATCAGTTAGTTCTTGTTGAGTATATTCTGAACCACCCACAGTATTTTATGATTATAATTCTTAGGGGGTATTTTTCTCATCATTGGTCACAGTTTACAAACGGGTTTCCCCTCCTGGATCTCTTGAAACTGTGTGATTCTCCCTCTAAAATACTTATAACTACAATCTGCTTACTTCCCTTGGTTGTAACCAGAAAATGCATTTGCTGTCTTGCAATATGGAAAATTTGATGCAAGTAGAACAGAGACACTAACCAAACCTGAAGAAGATGGGCTTGATCCTATCTCAGTACTGCCCTTCCCACCTGAACAAATGATTAAAATTTAAGATGTAACAAACCAGATCAAGATGATAATATATTGTACTATGTACAATTTAGAAAACCTGTAGCTACCACCCTTTCATGAGTAATTATTCATTTAATAAAATAGTTTTAACTTGAGAAAAGCAAACAGTGAGTAACATCTACTCATACAATTAATCAGGTAAGGTATGCCTACATCAGTCTGGCATTCAGCTAGAGTCAGAATTTGGGATGGGCCCAGACTTTGTACTTGGCACTGATACAGGCTTTATCTGTGGCTGTGATACACTGCAGGAGGGTAAGCAGTTCTGTTCTGTCTTAGGTTAAATTGCCATTTCTTATATATTGTCTATAGCTGTTCAATGCCAAATATGTTACATCCTGCATATTCTGCAATTTACAGACAGTCTAATTCTGCTATAATTGATATACCAAATAGAAAGTTTAACTCTATCAACAATGGCAAGCTTCCTATCATAATATTATTAGGAAATTGGTGAACATGACAAGCATATCCTCAGTGTGGACTGTGACACTCCTCTAAGTCAAATCTCTTTACATCAACTCTCAGCTGTAACACCAGGCAGGGGGACTGAACTCTTAGAAAAGAAATGTTAGGAACAGGATAAAACCAAACTGATTGTTTCACAGGCACAAGCCTTACTCCAGGGTATGGGAAAAAAAATCCCAGTCATCTTCAAGGATGCAGTAACACTTTTAATCAGCATTTCTTCTTGTAAAGGAAGGTGTTGCTGGCTGCTTAGCACCTGTCAGGACTGAGCTGATGGGAATTCATACCTTGTGTGTTATGCTGGGAGTGAATTCATTTCCCCACCAAAATGTAAGATTAACAGATAGCTTTTGAAGTTTGGGCAGTAGTGTGAGTATATAAAGGAAGTTACACACCATGTCCCTGACTCCTTCCAGGCAAACCAGGCTGCTCTGCAAGGCTTTTACAGCCACGTGAGAGGCTTGGGCAGTGGTTACAGCATGTAGCTCTCTGGTTTTGGTGTCCCACACAATCCCCATGCTGCCTCCGTGCTGACACTCCAACCTACCACATGGTCTCATTACACCCCTGGGGTAAGATATTATTTGGCTTTGCAGCCTCTGGGGTTCTCGGGAAGGGCAGGGAGTATTTGCCTTTAATCTGTCATTGTTCTGCTTCCACAATGACAGCTGTGGGATGCCGTGAAATACCAATGCAAGTTTGCTGTGGCGAATTTCCTGCTGTAACAACTTTCTGCAGAGTCCTGCCAAAACACTCCCTGCTCGCTTTGTGCTGATAGTCCATTGTCATGCATCGTTCCTCTTACTGAGCCACTGAATTAAGGAGCTCTTGTTTGACCCTTAAATGGGGAACACATTGTCAGAAGCAAGGGCGTCTCACCAGGAAAGCAGCCTTCACAATGGCAGGAAATATCTGCCAGACAAGAGAAAAGGGAGCTGGTCCAGGGGCTGCAGGGCTTGTGTGATTTTTTGACACCTGGTCTTTGCTTCACACTTCCTGTGTGACTTGGAGCAAGTCGTTTGATCATCTGAATCACTTTTGTAATTTCTCATCAGTTTCTAAAGGAATTCAGGATGCCAGTGGGATCTAGGAGCCCAGATAATTTGTGCGTCTGCCCCTAAATTTCACTGCATCCCAGTCCTTAGTCCTTAGGGTGGGAACACCAACATTACCTGCCTCCCTGGTCTGTAGTAAGGATAACCCTACCAGATGTAACAAGACTCTTTGAAGACTTAAGGATATCTAAATATAATTTCACAGTACTAATAAATAAATATCTTACGGTGTGCAGCTGGCTCTCTTTGGCACTGTAAAAGCTCCACTGAATGAAGAAGTTTCCCAGCGGTGCAGAACTCGTGTACGTGCAGAGGAGGGTGGCGTTTCCACCTGTAGTGACATTCACTGTCTTCTCAGGGACAGTCACCACAATGCTGCCGACGTGGCCTGTGGGCAGAAAGTGTGGTGAGGAGAGATCACCAAGGAGAGATCAGGCCCTGGGAGCCGTGCAGGAGTGTCTCACTCCCTGTGTTAGCAAAGGAACCCATAGGACGTGTCTAGTTGTTCTCCTTTTCAGTACGGTTTCCCTGGGGCCTTGTGTGGAAATTTCAGTGATAATGAGCTGGGAGTGGGTAAAAGCTAGCAAGCAAATAAATCCCCCAGAATACCTGTGCCCTTACAACAAATAATCTGAAAAGGCAGTGTTCCTAAACCTGTACTTGCTCTCACTTGCAGATACTCATCTTCTCACTAAGAGCTTGTGGCTAAACCGAACCTTTCTTCTGCACTTCCAGTGCTCTCCTGTGCTTGCACTCTCATTCACAGCTGTGTCTTGCCCTCTTTTCCAGCCGTTTTGGAGGGTTTTTTTGCTGTTATTCTTTTAGATGTCTGATCTCCTTCACTGTGGAGCACCATCACCTGTTGTCTCTTTCATTCTTATGTTCTGACTGGGGCTCCGTGACACTGTTGGGTCCCTCAGGCTGGAGCCCAGCAGCCTTTTGCTGCTTTTCTTTTGCTAATTACTTTGCTTTTGTTTAGATTTCTTAGGGTTTACATCCAGAACCTGTTTTTTTCCACACCAAGCTAAGCTTTTTGAATGTGGGTTGTGCAAAGTTCTGTGATAACTTGATCAACCCTTTCTGCTGTGCTCAAAGCAGAGAGGGAGCAAACATGACCTGTGAGCCCTTCCCCATAATGTTCTGATCAGTCTTGAGTACAAAGTCACAGAAATGAAAGGAATCAAGCACCATGTTACAGTATTTATCTGTTTCTCTCCTCTGTGTAACCAGCAATGGTGACACACAGCAACAAAGCTTGAACTGTGAGAAACATACATCTGAATTTCAGGGGTTTTGTAGGTTGCTGAGCCCAGTTTTAAAGCTACTGTCTAAAGATTCAGAAGGAGAATATATTTCTTTTGAATGTGATGGAAAGCATAAGTCTTTTTGAGATTTCTGTGCAAAACAGGCAAGTTAAGAATTTCATCTTATAATAATATTCATATGGGTTTATTGCACGTATTAATGATAGAGGCAAAACATGTAAAATATTCTTCTCGATGTAATATCTGTGCATTTTATGTTCAGGTGCTGCTTTTGAGAGTTTAAGCAGAACCTCCAGTAAATACCAAATGCTGAAATTATCAGCCCAGTGAGAGAAAACATTGTTTAAAAAGCAAACAATTTATTTTGATATTTTTAACCGTATAAATACTGCAGATTTTTCAGTTGCTATAGTATGCAAGCCTGTCTGAACTCTGGGTACTATTTCCCTTGTTTGATGGCTTCAATGGTAAAAGCTCACTACAAGGAAGAAAGGAATTATCTACTTTCCATGTTGATGGAGCTAGGATGAGAATTAGTGGGTTTAAACTACAACAAGATTTATATTATATGTGACGATAGTCTCACAGGAATGGCTGGAGACTGACCTAGATGTGTCAAACCTGCCTTGGGGAAAGAAGGGATCCCAGGGCTGGCTGCCAGTCCTACTTGTCTTGTGAGTTCACAGCAGCTTAATCCGTACTGAGATCCAATATAAAAGCTGTGTCATATTATTTTAGGTATCTCAGTTCACAGTTCTCAGCTTTAAGCGTTAGTGTTGGCCAGAGGATGATAGTTTCTTGCCACACAGTTTACACGTATTTATTTTCTGCTCTTTGCAGGATTAAAGCCATGGTCTTGCAACACAGTGTCATTCTACTGAAAACATCCATTTTCCAGTCATCTGCTCCACGTATTTCCTTTATAATTCTCTGGTTTTGGAGTCAGGAGCGCCACAGAGCCTGACTGTTGTAAGCTTTTCTGGCAGAAATGAATTTTTAGCAGAGACAAGCATTCTAGTTTCCATAAAACTGTATATTTTGAAGAAATACAATTAATTGAAATAGCCTTCACTCTAGTAAAAAGATAAAGTCAAAGCCTATAAGACTGACCTTGTCCAGTGAGCTATTTAAAGCCAACACTAATTGCAAGATGGAGCTTTTGACTGACAGTGGAGTGAACTGGACCCACAGAGCTTGTTCCCTCATCACGGATGTTAATGGGAGTTTCGCTTTGCATTTAGTTCACTGTTTGCAGTTTCTAACCCCTAATCCCATTTCATACATACAGGCCTTTTGGTTTAAATGATAAAAGTGCATGAGTAAGAACTAGGTCAGTGAAAAAAGCTAGTGTGAACACGACCACAGCTTGTTTAGAACAGTTGATCCATGTCTTTCACTCATCAATATTATGGTAAGGCCTTTTCCTTCCTACAGAGAAAGTCTTTGCAGTTAATTTGGAATCTCCCACTTTCACTGAAGTCCTTTGCAGTGTTTAACACTCATGAAGTAAATCCAAGTTTGCTGACCTTTTTCTAGCCACGACAGAAACCCCCAGTCAGTGCCACCCATCAGTCTGGACACACTGCTAGTCTTAAATCCAGAACTTTCAAATTAGAAGACGTTGTTTTTAAAAGTATTGGTACCAACTCTGAATTACTTTTCATTTCTAAGGTAAAAATCTGTTGGGTTTCTGTCTATATGAGAGTTAGAACACTGAAACTCCAGGAGTATTAATATTTAATATTTAAAATATTTCTACAGCATCCAAACCAGATAATTCCATCTTGAAAAGAACACGTGGAAACTAACTTCCATTTTCTGTAGTGGATACAGGGGCTGTTCATCTCCATGGAACATTAGGCTTAAAATACCTGCTTCTGTATATATTAAGAGTAAAGCTTAGCACAATGAAATGTCCTTGAAACATTAATAACATATAATCTTTAATATGCCATATAATTCCTAGATTCCACAAAATTTATGTTGTCACTTAACTTCAGGGAAATCCAAAGATTATTTGCATGCTTAAAGTTAAACATCCCCCCAGATTTTCAGGTGGCAGTGGGACTGAGTCATCATTTCCCAATACTATTACCAAGGGGAGACAAGAGCTGAATGTGGGAAAACCAAACCTTGAAACACTTGAAAGACCCAAACACTCCGTGCAAGAGCTCTTTGCCTCTTCCTGATGTTAGAGCAAAGCATTAACCTACCAAAGCTAAAATTCTGTTCTTGAGCAAAAATCTCTTACCAGGCAATGGTCAGTTTGCAGATTTCCACAAAATGGCCTAGTAGTACAGCCTTGATTTTCATTTCATCCTGAAATAAATCATCTTGGATGTTCTAGTTTGCTAGTCAGGTTCATCTGCTCTCTCACTTCAGCAAGTTCTTTAGTCCAGTGCTATTTCTATCAGTTTGTTATTCTTACCTGCAAGGACGGCAAAAATTGAAAATATCTTCAGCATGGTTGCACACATTGTCTTGACGCTGGGAGAGAAAAGAGACCAGATGCTGCTCCTGGCTTCAACTGAAACTCAACTGTTTTATTTTTTTGAGTCGGTTTTTGTTTTCCTTATCAGCTGTGTATCACCACGTCAGTGAGCTGTTTCATACTCTTTTATCACGTGTGTGCCTTTCTCCGACTAGTGGTGTGACGGTTCGCTTGAAACCATTTTGTGGGGCTTGAGCAACTAAGGGTTTTGTTAATAATAAACCTTTGAATCAGAGAACCCCAGATTTCCCCACTTTTGCCAGGGCCCAGCAGTATTTGTCCACCTAAGTAATTCCAGTGAGTACAAGAAAAGTATTTGTGGAGCTATTTAACAGTCAATCTGATTACCAGTGTTGGAGTCAGGCCTAATATGAATAAGGAATAATCTTTATTTCCTTTTAATGCTATAATTTGTTTTCAAAAATGGGCATGTGGTGATAATACATTGGCAGTACATTTTCACTTTCAAACATATATCTTATACAGTTTTATACAGAATGATTACATTGGACTCAGGATTGCCTTCAGATTTTCATATTGAACTCATCAATAAGAAAACATACCAAAATAAAGATCAAATAAAAGTTATCTTCTAAACGGGTAGCAAAATCTGTTTCATGCAGTTTTAATCCATGTAGTTCAATGTTACTAGTTAAAAAAATGACAGGGTGAAAATACTGATTTTTACTTAATTGTTAATACCAGATTTATATAGTGAAAAAAGCAGTGGGTGGAGGTTAGACCCTGAAGAATTAGAATAACTTAGATTTCGTTGTCCTTAATGGTTGCAAAACACCCTCTCTGCAGCTCATTAGGAACTGAAGGTGCTCAGCTTCCTTTTTGTGTTGTGTCATTTGACTGAGGCTAAATTCAAGCCCCAGACTGCAGTGGGAGTAGCTGGCTCTGCATACACAGCCTGAGAGAGTGAGTGGCTGAAGAAGTAACAGAGGGCAGCATTGCCTTTTAGATGTGTGCCTGCACCTAGGAACAAGGCAAGTGAAATAGCCAGTGACTTTTTTCCATGCTTGTTGAAAGCATGGGTCTAGTTAATGCCTGATGATCTCATCTTTCTAGTGGCAGGCAAGGGCAGCCACCTTTTCCCTGGCAGGAGCCCTGGTGTGGCATGGGAAGCCTGTTTGGAAGGTGGGGCTCAGCATCTGGCCAGGCTGGAGGGGAGAGGTATGTCCAGAGTCTCCCTCATCTCTCATGTGATGTGGTGGTACATTCTTCAGCATAGAAGTTGTGAGTACCTAGTTGCATCAGTTACTGTTGGGATTAGATTTATGGACTTAAATTAATTTTATTCTCCCAGATATTTCTGTGTGTGGCAGATGCTTGAATAATCTCTGGATGGATGGTAGGGTTTGGTGATATTCTTATACAGGCCATCTCCAAAAGTTTTATAAAGGATGTCTTTTCCTTGTTTCTGACTATCAGCGCTTCACACAGCATTCCCACAGGGCAGGCAGTGCTTGTCTTTAAGGGATGGGGAGGGCAAAATTTGGAACAGTTAAATGTCTCATCCAAGGATTCACAGGTGATCCAGAGTCCAAAAAGGAATGTGTACGTTGAAAGACTGAAATTCAAATTCAGATTCCTTCCAAAAGTTGAAAAGCATTTAGATTCACCTTCACTAAGGAAGCATGGAGTGATTCCAAATGCACATGGCAAGTTCTCACTGGCTTTCCCCAAGTCAGCCTAAAATGGGAGCTGCTGCTGATTTCCAGTCATTTAGTTACAGATGAGCACAAATGATCTGAACATGAGACCCATTTCAGTGCTTGCCTATGGCAGCTCCATAATGCCCAGAAGTCCGACTAGTAGTTCACAGAGCACTGATCCTTTGCAAAAGACAGCAATTTTCAAGAAGATGAAAAAAAATGTCACCACCCTGCACAGCAAGGCAGCACCTGCACAGTCCTATATCTTTACCACAATATCAGTGTGTCCTCTAATTCCCTCTCATTTATCAACACTGAAGTCCTTTCTCTGGCACTTAAGGCCCCTTCAGCTAATATATATGTACACATATATAATGTACCCTGTTATATTCTATTTTTGCCAATTACTACATTCCTGGAGGGTGAAATGCTCAGTCTGACAGAGAACAGGAGCCAAGAACACAACACAACTTCTACACTGATATGTGCCCGTTTAAGCTGGGGACACAGGGCTGAGGTTGCCAATTGCAGAGTGGGTGTAGCTCATAGCAAATGATTGCAACCATCCATCCTGTTTTACAGGGGATACCAAACACCAGGAGCATTTCCATTTGACTATTACCCACCTGGGGCCCATTTCCCATGTCAAACCAGAGGTGTGTACCCCGACACTGACCTTCCCAGCCCTCTGGGGTTATTCTCTGTCAAGGTAATAGATGGCATCTGTCAGCTGCTGACTTTGCTTCCAGCTCATTGCTCCTGGAGAGCAGCACTGCCTGTTCAGGTCACCTTAGGAGAACTGAACACAGAAAGCAAAATCTGGTTTGGTTTGATGATTTAAGTTACAGTGGGACGACAAAGAAGCTCTTGCTTACACTGCCAACCCTCAGCTAAGAGGAGAGAACAGCCCAGAGTGCAGCAGCACAGCAGCCACTTTGCCGTGGGTGGAGCAAAGACTCTTATCTCCAAATAAAATAGAAGTGGCCAGTACCAGGAACTGTGTGTTAATAGACTTTGTGAGTCAAATCTGTGTACACTGAAACATATTCAGAAATGTTCCCTTTCAAGCAAATACCCTTGTATTCACTCTCTAAATATAAGTGTCAGTCATCAAAAAATGAAGCCCAGAGGCCCACCCTGAGCAAGGCAGCATTGTCCAGACAAGCATTGCCGGAATATTTAGGAATTGCTTCTGTTGGCCTGAAACCTAATTAAAAAACTTCCTGTAGAATTCCATGTTTCACTTGACAAAGCTCAGTAGCATTTCAACAGCTTTGTCTTCCTGAAATATGCTTAATCTGTAATTGTTTGAAGACATCAAACCCAGTGATTTATAAAGTTCTCTAGTTCAGTGTCACAGCTGATGGCTGGGGATGAAGAGAAGTGTTTAATTAAAGATTCAAACAAGTACAGTGAAAGAGCTGCTTTAAGCCTTTAAATCCATCATTAGGTTGATTTTCAAATGCACAGTACAGTTTTTCTGCCTGTTGCACAATTGTGGTCTAAAAAAAATATTTATAAGCTTTTCTGCCTAAAAGTAAATTCATGAACTCACTGTTATTTATAAACTTGCAGAGAGTGAAAGACTGTAAAGGTACCAATAATATAAACTCTTCTGAGGAGAGCACCGTGGCTTGTCACCTCAAATTAGCTTGGACAGAAATACACCTAATCCTCTGTATCCAATTCCCAGAATCAGCACAGCTTGTTATCAAAAAGCACAATTCCATTTTCTTGTAAAGAGTCTGGACTGGTCTTTTTTTATTGTCCATTTTCTCACTTAGGAAAGAAGGTCCTTTTTCCTTTTAACCATTCAAAAGCCAGCATTTCCTAGAGCAAACTCCCTGCCCAACAGGCTGTCCACTTTTGGGGGAGGGGGGAAGGAAAAGCACTGAAATGAGATAGAGCAGAACACTGATTGCCAGGAGATCAGAGAGCTGCAGGCCAGGCATCAGCACTTCAGGCACTTTGCCCTGGCTGTGCTGGGGGAGCTGCTCAGAGAAGAGGGCTGGGAGAGCTGGTGCAGAGGGTGTCTTGGGGCAGCTGTTAATGCCCATTTTAAATATACCCCCTGTGGGGCTGCAATGGCCGGGATGGATATTCTGACATTTTCCACATTTCTGGACTGTTGCAGCTGAGGTAACCTGAACATTTTAGATTGCTAAAAAATGTGGCAGTCAGTTAATTCAGCAGGATGTTGTTGAGAACATGCAGAATGCTAGACCTCTGCCATCTGATCTGGCCTGTTTGACAGACACAGAGGATGTAAGAAGCTTTTTATCTTGTGTCACTTTAGGAAGCTGCTGCCTGCTGTAGTCAAAGGGATTTGTTTGTGTACAACACATTGCAATAGAACTGTAACACCTGTACCCACAGCAGTGTGTATTTAGTTACCAAGTCCCGTGTGAAATCACTGTGAATGTAAGCACCTGAATAAATTTGTAGATCTGGCTCAGGCCTTTCATGTTGCTGGTAACACTCCTCTGGTCTTCCCTCCCTTATGTCCTGAGAAAAGCGTGAAAAAACAGAGAAGCAGCTGCGCGTGATGCTTCCCCAGACCTCCTGGGGATGCTGGTGTAGCATCCATGTAACCTGGAATTGGGCTGTCTTGGATTGTGCTGGACCACGATGATGGAAGTATTGGAGGGAGTTTTGTCAAAGAAGCAGAGCGATGGTTCTGCAGCAGTTGAGGTGTTATTACAAATGGTAAGTTTTAACCCTTTGTGTGCAGGTGAGCTGAACACCACGAGTGCCCTGGCTGATGCAGACTAAAGAATGACTTTGTAACAGAAAGTGCTACCATCAAAGAATCCATTTATGTGCTATGGCTCAGGTGTGAAAACTAAAGCAAGCTCTCCACTGCATGATAAATCACAGTAAAATGGTTCTGTCTCTGTACCATTGCTGTTTCCTTGGATTTGCATTGGCTGCATCACTGTTTCCCTGCATATGATTAACTCTCCTTGTTATGTCTTTCCCCCCCCTGCCCTTTTTCTTTTTCATGTGGCTTTGGAATTGAAGGTAATCAAGCAAAAAAAAAAAAGAAAAGGAAAATTCAGAGTGAGGATCTGGGGATTAAACTGTCTGTCAACCTTATCAGAGGGAACGGTGTTTTTTCTAATCATTGTTTGCATTTTCATAGGTTAACAATTTTTGAAACTGTTAAATGATATTGTTCCTTCAGTTTGGCAGCATTTGTTGTACTTGTCTACAATGAAAAATGCTTTCAGCTTAAGAATGCATGGAACTGTATAATTTGTATGGTGCCTGCCTTAACAGGTATGATAATGTAATTTTAGGATTACTCTGCCAAATTAAAACCTGGCATAAAATTCATGCAATTGGGCTGAACTCTAGGCTTTCCAGCATCTCCTGCTGCCTCTGAAATGGAGGGTTCAGGTGGATTGATGTTAAAAGGATGTATTTCATGCTTTCAAACACACCGGTTCATGCTGTCAAATGAATACAAGGTGATCTCATTCTTTATTTTAAAAAATAGCTAGTTTTTAATTCTTACTGTTTCAGGGAAATGCTTGGACATAAGAGGCCTCAGTGCTGATCTCAGCTGCTCCCTACTCCATGTAGGGAGGAATTGCTGCAAACCTCTTTGCTTTTGGCATGTTCCAGTTTAGAAAAGAGACTACAGCAGCCTGTGTGTCTGAGCATTGCTTTGCCTGCCCAGGTTTCACCTGGCTGTGAATCCTTTTCATTTTAACTCATGTAACTGGTGGAGGGAATTGAGAAGCTGTTTCTATGTCCAGGCTCTGCAGCTCGGCTGCCCTCTGAAGGAACCTGAGTTTAGTGAGAATGTGTGGCCTTTTTCTTGGGGAGGCGGAACAATATTTGTATATGCCATTAATTATTAATTAATGGTTGTATAGCTCGTTTTGCCTCAGCTGCCCTTCTCCTGGCATGTGTGCCCTGGGGTCCCTGCTGGCAGCTGGAGCCTGGCTTTGCCCACTGACAGCCAGATTCCCAGCACTGCTCCAGCACCAGCTCCTTGAGGGGGGATGTGATGGGGCATTTTCCTTGAGAAACTCTGGATTCCTGGAAGCTGAGCAGTGCCTTGGAAATGCTGCAGCTCGTTAAGGTGAGCAAGTTAATGTGAAGTGAACCAAGAGCAACTGCTTGCTTAGTGCCTTTTTAATGAGACTTTTCCTTTTGATTCCCAGGAGCTTCCTACTGGGAGAAGGTTACTTGTTTACTTGGTTTTAATTCTCAGGAAAAATGATAAGACGCTTCCTTTCCTGCTTTGTTAATGATCTCATTAGAGTTGTCTTAATTGTTTTCATTACATTGAGTATGGCAGCACAATGATGTGATGAAGGTGTGGAGCAGAGGATCATCAATCCTGAATAAAAAAACAGTGTGGAAGACCAGCTGAGATAAACCTAAGCACTTGTTTTGTCCTGCTTTTGATTTGCTTGTGGCAGGCAACCAAAGTTATTCATCAACTGACCCTGTAGCCCGGCAGCTTTGTTACATATTGCTGTTCAAATTTTTTTGGAAGCACTTGTTATCCTTCAGTGATCAAGTAGGCAGTGAGTTTGCAAAGTGGAGGGAAGTAATGGAAAATGAAACTGTCAGCAGCCTGTACATCGTGGGAGCAGCTGGGAAAGCAATCGCTCAGATGACTTCATCTCAAAATCACATGAATCTTAATAGCGTGTGGGGTGTAACCTTTGAAGAACAACTGTCTAATTCAGTTGTACACAGCAATTTGCTTCAGACAGGCTAATAAAGGCAGTGGGGCAGCCCAGCCTGGCACAGTGATATCCCTGTCACGCCTTCCCTCATGGCAGCAGGGTTTTGCAGCTGTGCAAACACACCCCGTTGGTGGGGAACCCACTGATCCGTGGCCGGTGGCTGTGGCCCATTGCAGGCCAGCCTGTGCCCCCAGCCCAGCTCCTTCATGTGTGCCTACAGCCAGGCTGTGTCCTGCACATTTCCTGTGTGTGGCCATGTCCTTGCTCCTGGCTGGATTTCCCTGGGCCAGGCTGGCTGGTGCTGCAGAACCCCAGGCACCAAGCAGTGTCCCCTCACTCCATGAGGGCCCATGGCACAGGTACCCACAGTGCTGCCCACAGGCCCCTCTCATCAGCTGCCTCCCCTTGCCCAGCTGGGCTCCTCCTCACCTCTGCACCCACAGAGCACTTGCTGCAACAATTCTGGTTTGTAAACTACCCTGTAATTCCCAGGCTCTCACAAGGAAGAAGAAAAAAGCCACAGACTTGTATGGGCATCCCCCAAGAATCAGATTGCTTTGTAAAATTCTCAGAAGTGCAGTTGGGCTCTTTTATCTCTTTTTCTCCCCAAACACAGAGTACTGATTCTGTGCCAGAGATGATGTAAAACTCCTACTGGGTGGCCTTTGCTATAATGTTCAATAAGTGATATGTTCTTGGAGCCTGTATGAAATGCTGAAAAGCTTCCAATTCTATAAGCAGGCAGCCCCCAGAAAGAAAGAACGGCTTAAAACCTGGTTCAGGGACTTATCTATCGACACCACTGATGTGACTGGTATTGAATTAGCACGAGCTTTTTATTCTGCCCCTTTTCATTCTGCACGTTAACGTCATGTATCCAGCTGGGACTGTTCTGTTTGGCATCTGTCACAGTCACTGTCTGCATCCCTACAAAAAGCTGTTTTCAGTTCACTGTGATTTTAGGAGGCAGGTCACCCTCCACTTGAGAACTGACCTGTAGCAGACTAGAGTGGTTG